GAAGAGGTCGAACCGAGTTCAACCGGCTAGGCGATACACCTTGCCGACACAATCCGGACCAACTTAGGGAGCCTGCGATAAAGGTAGCTAGGCGGAAAGGCAGAACGGCGTTCTACCTGCTAGGCGAAACACCTTGCCGGTCCCGATAGTGAGGTTCGCATAACATCCAGAGTCTCGAAGGAGCCGTCACGAGGCAGATACCAGCAAGCAGTCGACGACGAGGAGCGACGCCGCGAAGGACAGCGACGAGGAGCGACGCCGCAGAGGACGACGACGAGGAGCAGCAGCAGCTGAAGAGCCGCGAGGATTGTACAAGGAGACTAATAAAGACAGTTACGATCCCAACAGAACTCTTGCGTTATTCATTGGTCAAAGGCAACGAACCCATAACCTCTCTGAGCTAGCCGCCCGTTAACGTAGCGAGCGAGAATACACAGAAATCAGGTGGTTACATCTGGCGCCCATGAGTGATTGCCCTGACCAAGAGAACAAAAGATCAAAGATGGGAAAGTCCTGGATTTATAATCTCAGGAAGGAGGTCTTCGCCGAGGTGAGCAATGTTCTGGGAATAGAACTTGAGGGCTCGGTAGAGGCGATGAGGAAGCTGCCGGTCCCAAAATTCAAGCTAACAGTCGCAGATGCCGAAGGCCTTATAGCAAGCCTGGATATTCAGAGCATGGCAAGCGACGGCAGGCAGCGAGAAGGCAGCCGCGAGAGGAAAGAAAGCGTACGGCCACATCCGCAGGACTACGCCAAGGTGGCCAAGCAAGTCCGAGAGTGGAACTTTCGGTACGACGGCAACTACAAGCCACTGGAGTTCCTGGAGCAGGTGGAGTGGTCAGCCGTGACATATGGTCTGGATATAAACCAGATCCCACGAGCAATGCCGGAGCTGCTGCAGGGCAGAGCCCTAAAGTGGTTCATAGCCAACAATCGGCAGTGGGACAACTGGGGAGACTTCATATTCAGCTTCCAAGGATATTTCCTTCCTCGAGGATACATGGAGAAGCTTGCGGACCAGGTCAGGCAGCGGAGGCAGACATACGGGGAAAAATTTAAAGATTACATGGTGGACATGCAGACGATGATGCGGCCCCTGGGTATGTCGGCCAAAGAAGTCCTGAACAGGATAAAGGAGAACAGCACGCCGGCCCTCCGATTGTTTATCCGGCCGTACGAGTGTCGGCACCTGGACACCCTGATGGCGCTGGCAGACGAGTTTGAGGAGCTGGAGGAGCAACGGGAGAAGTTTGAAATGGAAAACCACTCCCAGAGGACACAGAACCGCCCAGTGCCAAGGCCAAGGGCAGAGCAGGGTGCGGTGTGTAGGCGGTGCCAGGAGGACACGGAGGCGCCACGGAGGCATACGCCGCAGGAACACGGACCACCAGCCGATCGCAGTGGATTTATACAGAATCCGGCCAACGCGTGTCGCAGATGCGGGGGCGCGGACCACTGGACGAAGGAGTGCCGGAACCGGCGACTCACATTCTGCTGGCGATGCGGAAAGATAGGCGTCCGAACGGTGGAGTGCTGTTCGGGAAACGCGCAACGATCCCAGCCTCCGAGGGGCGGCCAGGGATCGTAAGGTGCTGCCTCTCAAAAATAATGGGCGACCTGAAGGCGGAAGAAATGCAACTGTCCGCCACAGTGCTCATAGGTGACGCGAAGGTTTAGGCCACGGTGGACACCGGCGCGACAGCGAGTTTCATCAGCAAAGAGCTGGCGGACAGGCTGCAGGCGGCAGGAAAGGTTGGACCCACAAAGAGGCAAGTACGGATGGCGGACGGTAGATGCGGAGACGTAAAATCGCAGTTAGAAATTCAAATCGGACTTGGCACAAAAAAAGTGTCAATGGAGCTGCTGATCCTCCCAGGATTGATTGACGAACTGGTGCTAGGATGGAACTTCCTCACCAAATTGGGGGCGAGGTGAAATGCGCAGGTCACAGAGTGATGATACCGGCGAGGGACAGACACCGAGGCTGGCTAGAGGAAAAACTGTCGGTAGCAGTCGTGGAAGCCGCGAAGGAATTTTCGGAGAAGGATGTGGACCAGTTTTTAAAGACCGAGTTGGAGAGCCTGGAAAATCTGCAAGGAACGTCAATCGTGGCAGTACACAGGATCACCATGAAGGACGATCAGCCGGTCAAACAGCGGTACTATCCGAAGAATCCAAAAATGCAGGGCGAGATCAACGCCAAAGTAGACGAGCTACTTGAAAAGGGATGCATCGAAGCGTCAAGGAGTCCGAACAGCTCACCAATAGTCATGGTGAGAAAGAAGACCGGGAAATGGAGGCTCTGTGTGGATTTCAGGCAGATCAACGCAAAATCCGTGAAGGATGCATATCCAATCGGCGATCAACTACATCCTGGGCCAACTCCGAGAAGCTAAATATATTAGCAGCCTCGATTTAAAGGACGGGTACTGGCAAATACCGTTGGAGGCAGCCAGCAGGCAGTATACCGCATTCACAGTGCCAGGGAAAGGCCTGTTTCAATGGAAAGTTATGCCTTTCGGTTTACACTCGGCATCAGCAACATTCCAGCGGGCGTTGGACCAGGTAATTGGACCTGAAATGATGCCGCACGCTTTCGCGTATCAGGATGATATAATCGTCATCGGACGGACACTAGAGGAGCACATGCGGAACCTAAAGGAAGTATTCAGAAGACTGCGAGCGGCAAACCTGAAAGTAAACGCGGATAAGTGTAAATTCTTCAGGAAGGAACTTCAATACTTAGGGCATCGCATTACAGACCAGGGCATCGGGACGGATCCAGAAAAGGTATATGCGATAGCATTGCTGAAACCACCGGCAAATGTCAAAGAACTACGGAAGTACTTGGGAGTGGCGTCGTGGTACAGGCGTTTTGTGCCAGATTTTGCCACGCTAGTGCATCCGTTGAACGCACTTCTCCGAAAGGGTGTCTAATGGGAATGGACCGACGACCACCAGCAGGCCTTTGAAGCTGTCAAGGCAAGATTGGTCGCCGACCCAATTTTGGCATGCCCGGATTTTACAAAGCCGTTTGTGCTGCAGACCGATGCCAGCGATTATGGGCTGGGCGCCATTCTCACTCAAAATTCCGACCAGGGTGAGCGGGTGATATCCTATTCCAGTCGGACCCTAAACGGGTCGGAAAAAAGTTACTCCGCCACTGAAAAGGAACGTTTAGCAATCGTGTGGGCCATAAGAAAATTAAAGCCATACCTGGAGGGATACCACTTCAAAGTGATAACAGATCACATGGCCTTGAAGTGGTTGAATAGCATCGAGAGCCCAACCGGAAGAATCGCGCGGTGGGCACTGGAGCTCCAGCAATACGACTTCGAAATAACATACAGGAAAGGCCAGCTGAATATTGTGGCGGACGCACTGTCGCGGCAGCCCTTACCCGAAACCTGCCGAAGGTTGAAAACGAAGTCACCTGGTCAGTCAGCAGAACAAGCCGAATGTAGCTGGATAATGGACATAAGGGGCAAGATAGCACAGAACCCCCAAAAATATCCGGACTATTTAGTGGAGGCCGACCGGCTGTACTGGCACATTCCTCACAGAGCAGGCAACGAGGATGTGGTCGCATGGAAGCTATGCGTACCAATCGGGTCAAGGCAGCGAGTCATGGTTGAGAACCACGATACGCCGACGGCCGGACACATGGGCAGCCGGAAAACGATCGCGAGGGTGGCAGCGAGGTATTATTGGCCGGGCATGCACCGCGACATTAGGAAGCACGTGCGGAACTGTGAGAGCTGCCTCAGGTACAAGCTCAGTCAGCTCCAGGCAGCCGGAAAAATGCTCACACAGATCCCAGAGGAGCCCTGGGCCACAGTATGCGCCGATTTCGTTGGGCCGCTTCCTCGGTCGAAACACGGGAACTCGATGCTACTAGTGCTCGTAGATCGGTTCTCGAAGTGGACGGAAATAGTACCAATGCGGAGGGCTGCCACGGAGACGCTGGAAAAGGCAATCCGGGAAAGGATTGTCTCAAGGTACGGCGTGCCGAAGGTCTTAATCACCGATAACGGGGTGCAGTTCACGAGTAGGGCGTTCAAGCGGTTCCTGACAGAGTTGGGAGTGCGGCACCAGTTCACAGCCCCGTACACACCACAAGAAAATCCCACAGAGAGGGCCAATAGAACCGTAAAAACAATGATCGCGCAGTTTGCCGGACAAGACCAGAGAACGTGGGATGAGAAATGGCCAGAATTGCAGCTGGCCGTGAACACTAGTGTAGCCGAGTCCACAGGGTATTCGCCGGCATTCGTCACGCAGGGTAGAGAGCCCAGGTTACCGAGCGCGTTGTTTGATGAAGAAACCACCGGCACAGGAAGGGAAACCCAGACCCCGTCGGAGAATGCGAAAAAATAAACGAAATATTCGAGCTGGTCAGACGGAACATGGAGAAGGCGGCGCAGGATCAGGCGCGCCACTACAATCTCCGGAGGCGCCCTTGGAAACCACAGATTGGAGACACGGTATGGGCCAAGGAGCACCATCTATCCAAGGCGGCAGAAGGATTCGCGGCGAAACTGGCCCCCAGATACGAAGGACCGTTTAAAATAATTAATTTCGATTCTCCGGTTATTTGCAACCTGCGGCACGAACACACGGGCAAGGAAAGGAAAACACACATAAGCCAGTTAAAACCCCAAAGCAAAGAGGGGCAGTCTCAACAAATCCGGCGTATCGGGGGAGCACTGTACCCTAACCGAAGAAAGGGGGAGGATGATACACAGTATCGAAATTAACGGTCAAGCACACACACACAGGCACACACATCAGGAGCGCGAGAGCGGGACAGGGAGGGTTTAAAAAGCCGTAGGCACCGTTACCGACTAAACACACACATGCACGGGTTGCGTAGGAGGCGTGTACACGGAGGGCACCGTTACTTGTAAACGTTACACGGACACAGAGCGGAGAGCGAGTCCCGTTACCGGTAAACGTCTCCGCGAATAACGGAACCGAGGTTTCGTCAGCGACGGCTCTGCATGGTGCAGGTCTTTCCAAACAAGATCGTCATCATGAGCGCACGTGAGAATAACACCCAACAGCGAGTGGAACACGAGGTGAGGGAGGAGCGCGCCAGGGAACAGCCAGTGGCGAAGTGGAGACGGGACTCCGATTCCGTTCTCCAGCTTCTGGCGTCCCCCCTGGTGTCGCGATCCCCGTCACCGGACAGCGAGGCGGGCGAGGAGTCGACCGGGGAGATCTCGGACGTGGAGCTGCCGTCCGAGGAGGAGGACCCAGGCGCAGACGCGACGGAGATCGCAGAGGTCGTCGCCATCTCTTCCGACGAGAGTGGGCCGGAGGACGCGAGTGAGGAGGAGGAGGAGGGGACGGAGACCGTCAGTCCCGAGGTGTCGTCGGACGAGGACGACGTGGCGCGGCGAGCTGCGAGGGATAGGATGATCTTCCGCCGGTTGAGCAGGGCGACGGCAGGGCTCGGGAGGATCGGCCTAGGGCACATACCACCGTCGGGCGAGCCCAAAGAGTGGGCTCGTATATTGGAGGCGCAGGCGGTCACTGTCCGCCAATGGGAGGCCCGGCGGGCGGCGAGGTGTGCAGCAGTCGCCGCGTGGCAGCAGAGGCTGAGGGACGCCGAGGCCGAGGAGGCCGCACTGTGGGAACCGCCGCAGGAGCAGCCGCAGCCGCCGCAGGAGCAGCCACAGCCGCCGCAGGGGCAGCCACAGCCGCCGCAGGGGCAGCCGCAGCCGCCGCAGGAGCAGCCGCAGCCGCCGCAGGAGCAGCCACAGCCGCCGCAGGAGCAGCCACAGCCGCCGCAGGAGCAGCCACCGCCGCCGCAGGGGCAGCCGCAGCCGCCGCTGTCGGCACCGCAATCGCCACCAGCAGCGCGGCCGCCGCCGGTAACGCAGCCGCCGCTACCGCCACCACGATCGCCGACGCCACCACCACCGCCGCCACCACGATCGCCGTCACCGCTGCCACACTCACCAACACCACCACCATTGTCGCCGCCGAGGCAGCAGAAGTGGCACCTGCCACAAGCGCAGGTCGCGCAAGCGCTGCGGACCATCGTGGTGGAGGGGCGGCGGTGTCATCAGTAGACGGTCACGTGGACGTGGCCCGCGCCCGAGGAGGCAGCAGAGGAGGCCAGGATGCGAGAGGCCATCGAAGCCATCGAGTGGCGGCGCCCACCGCCGCTGAGCCCGCGCGATCCGAGGGCCAGGTCGACGAAACGCGTCGCGGAGACGGGCGATCGCGCGGGGCTGGAGGTGACGACCGAGGAGGAACGCGAGGCCCAGGAGGGGCTGGAGAAGGGGCCATGGGAGTGGCCAACCCCGCCGGAGACGTCGCGGGACACGGCGCCACCCCCGAAGCTGGCGCGGCAGACTTCGTGCCCGGAGTCGCGAGCCCCACCGGCGAGGCCGACGCTGCGGAGACAGCAGTCGGAGGGCGCGGAACCGTGGGCGGAGGTTCCGGCGGCGGATTGGCCGGCGCGGGTGGCCGAAGAGGCGCAGCGACAGCGAGGGAGGCAGAGGAAGGCCAGGTGGGCCAAGCTCGTGCTGGATGAGGGACAGCGCTACCGAGTCAAGGTAGCAGGGGGCCGGGTGCGGGTGATTAAGGCCCAATAAACAAATAATAGCATTCGAGCCCAGCAGTTATTTTTGGGCAGGGGATCACAAAAAGGCACAACACAGGAAAAAAAGAGTGGTCCGCCGCAACAGCCGATCGCGGAACGGGGGCGGTGAGGGGGGGAATATCGGGCCAAGCACGCGGGCCGGCAGAACACACGAGGCTGCCGCAGGCGTAGGGCGAGGGGGGTCACTTGCCGCCGCAAGGGTCTCCCGGGGCACGCGGTCCAGGGTCAGCACCCCGAGATATGTCAGGGGCACCATGGTCATGGTGTCGCTGTAAAGAAAAAAGTCGTTAATTAAAGGAAAACTATCATCAGCAAGTTAACTTACCAATTTTTTCAAAACAACGAGGCCGTGAGGAAATTAGGGACGGGGGCGCCAGGCGATAGGCGGTCGATCGATAGTTGCGATCGATGGGTACAAAAAATACTGGATTTCTCAAGAAACGGTCACACGGAGGCAACTTAATAGCCTGATTCCATTGCCGCATTAGTGGACTTTTTAAATGTGCCTGATTCCATTGGCGCATTAGCATTTAGTTAATGCTTCTCCGACATGTGAGTGGTACGAACAGCTGATCTGGGCTTGTTTACTTTTGAATTTTGGCAAATTCAAAAGAAATTAATTAAAATTAATAAACATGAGTGAGTTTACTAAACTCTGTAATGCTCAGCAGGACATCAATATAGCGACCGAGACATTTGCCAACTTGGACGACAAAGAAGAAAAGCTGATTGCGTTGTTATGAGGGGTTTGCAATGGAGACCACCACAGTTTCTAAAAAGGGCAAGGATCCCCGTATATGTGGGAGTTATTTTATGCCAGAGATCCAGCAGTAATGAATTGTGGTACTGCGAGCACAATTTGCAGCGTTCGCTCTAGGTTTCAGTCATTTTTATACGAAATAGATGTTATATTCAAAAGACATCAAAAATTGCGCCAACCTTGCTTATAGAAAACAGCTGTAGTGGTGGCACGAACAAAATATCGTTAAGCATCGGTATTTTCCGGTATTTATACTAAAAACGTTCGGGGCGAATGGTTTTTAATCGCATTTAAAAATCGCATTTATTTTAAATGCGGCATTTAGCCTTATGGGATTCCCTGTGTAAATAAATGCGCATTTGGCTAAATGCGTTTTAATGCGGCGATGGAATCAGGCTATAAGACAACGGAAACGATAACGGCAACAACGATGGCAAGGCTGGAACCACTATCGATAAGTGCGATCGAGGTGTGGTCAGACGACGGGAATCGGAATAGTGATGTCAAACAAGGGGAAATGTCTGGGCGGGAAATTCAAATTCTACGCGGGGGAATTATCGAAGGAACGAGATGCAGTTTTGGGAAAGTTCAAGTCTTTCGGGGAACTGTCTGGGGAACAGGCTAACGCAGCACAGCCATGGGAAAGTTAAAGGTCTTTCAGAGCGCTGTCTGGGGGGAGTCTTACGAGGGCAGCTCAGGGAAAGTTGAGTCTTTTGGGGAACTGTATAGGGTCACGAGGAGAACGAGTTTGGGCGGGGAATTTGAATGAACGAACAACAGGGGCGGGGAGATCACCACTTTCATAACATTTCCGAAGAAAGGGGGAAATGTGAGGAGTCTTAAAACTCCCCACAAATTCCGAGGCAGGAGAGCTGCATAGCAACAGCGAAGGAGGCGAGAATGCCGGAGGAGTCAAGGGCAACAAGGTCAAACGGTAAGCAACGGACCTTGGACCCGGGCAAAGCGGAGACACCGTGAATTAACGGTACCACGCTGGACATTGGACCCTCATACGGCAAGGGCAACAGGGTCGAACGGTAAATTGGCGGACTTCGGACCCGCACAAAGAGGACGCACCGTGAACTAACGGTGCGGCAGTGGACCTTGGACCCGATCACGCGAGCTGGAAAAGGGAAATAACGGGACCATCACAGGCTATAAAAGGCGGCGCAAGCGGAGCACACGAGGAGTAATAGTGCGAGAATCAAAGCGAGTGCGTGTACGCGAGACTAGTAGCAAATTAATCAAGTGCCGAGTACCAGGATCAAGATCGCAAAGTCGAGACGCCGAACGACTGAGAGTCTACAAGGCTGAGGCTTCAACGCTGAGATCCAACGGGTGCTAGGTCGGGGTTAAATCGAGCTCAGGGAGTCCTTGCGTGGAGTCTGCGATAAAGGTGGATGGGCGAAGAGGTCGAACCGAGTTCAACCGGCTAGGCGATACACCTTGCCGACACAATCCGGACCAACTTAGGGAGCCTGCGATAAAGGTAGCTAGGCGGAAAGGCAGAACGGCGTTCTACCTGCTAGGCGAAACACCTTGCCGGTCCCGATAGTGAGGTTCGCATAACATCCAGAGTCTCGAAGGAGCTGTCACGAGGCAGATACCAGCAAGCAGTCGACGACGAGGAGCGACGCCGCGAAGGACAGCGACGAGGAGCGACGCCGCAGAGGACGACGACGAGGAGCAGCAGCAGCTGAAGAGCCGCGAGGATTGTACAAGGAGACGAATAAAGACAGTTACGATCCCAACAGAACTCTTGCGTTATTCATTGGTCAAAGGCAATCACCCAATATAAATTTGGTAGAACGAACCCATAACCTCTCTGAGCTAGCCGCCCGTTAACGTAGCGAGCGAGAATAAACAGAAATCAGGTCGTTACAAAATATAAAGGTTTCATTCAACTCTATCTGAAATCGTGCGGTGACTCAAAAAAGACACTGGAGCATATCATTTGAGGATTTAATTTTTAAAGCAGTTCAGGAATATAATAAATCGATACATTCTGTAGCAAAAGAAAGACCCATGACATAATTTTCAGAAGCACAATCTCTAGTTCAACAGCAGACATAGAAAAACAAGAAAGGAAGCAAACTTCAGCAAACCGAAGTTCATATACCCTCGCAGCTATTGCAAAAATTAAATATTCTTGAAAACATTAAAATTATGATTGTCTTGCGTATACGTTTAAAAACATTGAAGTTATGATGACTTGCAGCTCAATTATTTCATAGTTCCCAAGGCAGCTATATGATATCGTTTTCCGAGTTTAATAAAATTAAAAGCGTCAAATAATTAAATAATCAAAAAGAATTTCTAAAAAAAATTACAAAATAAAAAAGTTACATTTAAACAAATTTTTTTTTTTTTTATGTTCATTGGGTGTTTTATGTTATAGTCATCCGTCGTCTTTTGATAAAATTTAAACCATAATTCTGACCATTACTATATGTCGAAAAACTAAAAAAAAATTAAAAAACAGCAAAGTTATAATTTTTTGCATTTATTTTTCCGATTCTTCGTATGGGAGCTATATGCTATAGTCGGCCGATCCGGCTCGTTCCGACTTGTATACTACCTGCAATAGAAAGACAACTTTTGCCTAAGTTTCATGCAGATAGATGATCAAGAATATGTATACTTTATGGGGTCGGAAACATCTCCTTGACTCCGTTGCAAGCTTCTGACTGAAATTATAATACCCTCTGCAAGGGTATAAAAACGAAGAAATAAAGAAGAAAATTAAAAATAAACAAACAGCCGACCTCGAATACCACAATCAAGTAAAAATACTACCAAAACTTTTAAAGCCAGGCGAAACTGTACACGTTAAAATAGATAAAAGGTTAGGAACAAACGTACACCTAGATACAAAGCCGAGAAGGTACCCTGTAGTTCTGAAATTTCCTTCCCTGCCTTTTCCTGGCCGGCATGTTCGAAAAACAAAAACAAATCACATGGGCTTCATCTAGCGAAGTTCAAAACAAAGCAAAAAAAAAGTTCGAACTTTTTTGTTGTTGTTTATTTCGAAGTAATTCGGAGCAGCGGCTGAAAAAGGGAGAGGTTTGGACGGAGAGAAAACGGAGAAAAAAAATCAAAAAGTCAAGAACAAAAGAAACTGTGTAGACTTTTGAATACCATTTTTTAGAAGCGCTAGTATATTTATTTATTTTAAGATGATATATAACATTTTGGAAGTTATTGTGAAGTTGCAATAGACGCCAAAATGTTAATATTTGATTATCTGCCTTATGTGATTTTAACTACAAGGCATTGTTATGGTCGGATATACCCTGGCACGCGTCAGGCAGAAATTTCGGTTTCGTTTACGTTCTCCCCATTCCCTTTGCACTTGAATTCGACTGCAACAGAGTGAGGAAGTGTTTTTAAAAGTGAAAATAATAATCAGGTAAGTGCATAAATTTAAATAAATATACAATATATAAATAAATATATTTGCACATTTGAAATACGGTGTCTAAGCGCGGCAAAAGCGTATTAGCTGACGGCCATGCTGCAGATTTTCCTTAAGGGAACCTGATTCCTTCCCGATCGAAAATGAGGAGGAGCTGGTAACAGGTTTTCAAGTAATAAGCTCGTCTACTAAAACCGCCTATGTAAGTAAAATATTTATGAAGAAAATTAGTGTGCAATTAATTCTGTGTTTTTTCTACAGATCGAGACCATCACCGAAATTCTTAGGCGAAATAATTTGCCTAAGTCTATTAAAGGAGTTTTGGCAGAGCCCCTCCTTTGCGACTTTAATATAGACGGCGTGAATGGAAAAAAGGCCCTTGAGGGTTTTCCAGGGTTTTTTTCCGTTACAGTCGGTAAGTATAATACAGCAAAATATAACAGATTTTTTTATTTTGTTCTATTATACATATCTGTTTTGTTTACAGACAGCATATCTGCGTTGGGAGGCCAGCTGCCGGCGGAAAAGTCCCTTGCGCACGCCTTATCTTGCGCAAAAAACAACGCAAACAAAAAAAATCAAAAATAAATGTTAAAATACTAATTTTAATAAATTTCCGAGGGGGTCCTTGACTTTTGCCCAGGAATTCCTGAGGACTTTTTAGTATTTTCCTCAGGAATTCCTTGCGAATTTGCCTACTGATTAAGTTATATATTCCTGAGAGATTCCGGGGGAACTCAATCAAAAAGTTCCACG